ATCAACTGTCGTCAACTACATGCGCTTGAGATTATGAGGGTCACCTCAATTGCTCAGGAGAACGAGTCATGCACCATTCAGTTCGTTCTCTTCGGCATTTTTCAGATGTCAAACCGACCACCTGCGTAAGTTTCGTGCCCTAAGTTTCGCTATCGCTAGAATTCGCAGTAATTCGCTCGCTACTAAAAGTGATCTAACCTTCTCTGGAACATCTAAAAATTTGACGATTTTGAGGGGACTTTTCGAGCACAGCTGATCATCGGGATATGTGGCCACACCCGGTTCTGAAGTTCCTACCTTTTGTCATCGGGAAGGATTCAAGGACGCAGTAAAATTCCGATTGGAATCTAGGAATAATCTTGCTGGGAGCTTCGTTTCTGATGAACAAACCTCGTCTCCATGGTAGGAGCAGGCAGTATACGAAATTAAGCAATACTCGTTTTCTGTTCGTTTGCATTTGTCGGATGAAGTTCCTACAGAATCCGCATTTTCATTCTTGGTTGTCGCTTTCTTATTTTTGTTGTTCAGTATCACCAGTACCACGTGTCGCCTGATCAAGCATCCATTTTCACGAGCGGGCGCCAGAAACGTCTCAATTCGTCCCTGTCACTAGCCACAGTAACCCAGTGGTTACTGTGACTGGGTGGTTCTCGCTCGAAGAACAAGTTGCAAGCATCTTTAAGAACAAACATCCTCTGCGTTCAGAGTTTTCATACAGAAATCTGAACAGTCTTTGTGTTCGCCTGGTGCCCCGAGATATCCAGCACTCTGATTTAACCATCGTCACGATATCGCAAGGTGTCCGCATCTGATGTGCGATTTCTTGGCGTGAGAAAAGCGTTGATGTTCCTTGTAATAATGGGGGACTTCCGCGCACCGCACCCTCCACAGCGGTCAGTGACGCTGGCTGCATGTTCATACTGCTCTTGCTCAGTCCAAGCCTCCAAGTCGTACATCAGAGCAAGAAGGGCAACAACGTCGGAAAGTTGAGCGCGAAGCCGAATGTACTTCGTCTTCTTCCTACTCCGTTTATGTTCTCAAATGCTGTCCAAGTCGCGCTTTCTCTTCTGTTCAGCTTCGCAGTGAGATGTTTATCATGTTGACTTCTGAACCTAGATTCACATGTCTAGAGCATTCAGAGATACTGGATCCGTTGAGCGTGTGGGTAGCATTAGGCTCCGATGCCCAGGTTCCCATGCGCATCGTCGTTCAAGTTGAAAGGTAAGCCGATCTTCTCACAAGAGCTGTCACTTTCACCAGTATTCGTTCCACTTGTTCGATGTTCGGTGTTATAAGAAAGAAGTAGCATGCAAATAGCGGATTATGTAAGTAACGACTTTCATTCTCGCATTTTCCTTATGGCGTGATAATGTGGTAACGTCCTCGAGAGCAGGACTCAATAGTTTTCCATAGTACTAGCTGGAAATCCCTTAGAAATCCCTTTTTTGCAATAACAACACTCGCTACTGCTCGCTTTCTCGTAGAATGGCAAAACCCAGGTCATTTAGTTGCTGTACAAGCATCACGAAGCATCGTTGCATATTGAGGAAAAACACCTTGGTCAATCAAGGCCTCTGCCTCGACGTATCAAAGGTCTTCTTCAAATAGATGAACCGAAGACATAATGCCATCCTGTACTCTAAAGATAATACAATGAGTCTTGTGAGGAAAAGTATGTGGTCCTTTGTACTAAGCCGTTTCAGAAACCCTGCTTCTTCGCACGGCTTTCCTTCTTCTGATATCCTGTCAATATTATTCAGAATGACACGAGTGAAAGGTTTGTGAGTTACAAACGCAGTGAGGATGGGTGAGAGCTGCCAACATCGCGTGGTTCTCTCTCCTTATACAATACGCTATTGCTAGTTCCTACAATATGGAAAGTTCTTCTTTTCAAAGGTACCGCGTGAAGCGCCTCGTCAAGCTAAAACGGTAACTTGTGGAAGCCTCTTCAAATGTTCTGGCCCGTTCCTATTAGGACTGAGGTTAATTCACTTCGTGCAAACAAACGCTGGCATACAGCTGGAGCGTTTTCACAGAGAGACGTTTTTTGAGCATTCGTAGACTCTCTACTTTCCTAGCACTAATGTGAAGGTAATCGACAATCCGAGTACGTTGTTCATCGATGTTGTCGGTAACGGAGTCATCCCAAAAAGAAGTGATCCCAATTGATGACGATTCCGGGACCGTTTCAAAATTTCGCAGCTCCCCTTTACATTGGAGAAATATAATTTAGCGCCAAGAGTTTATTGTTCGATACCGTGTAGGACTTCAGTCACGTCATTCAGGCAAGACTCTGAAGGTGGCTTGATCTATATCATTGCGTAACAGTCTATCGAGTGGGTCAATACTTCTTCACAAAAAAAGGACTTCTGGAACCGCGACCTATTTTGAATGGTGTGGGTCAACATGACGAGCTTGGACAGTTTTACATGTGCTTATTCCATTCCCTTCTATAAGTAGCATTATGCGGCTCTACAGCGGGACCCATTTGCACGTTGAAATCACCTACGACTATCTCGAAGAAAGCGCGGTCTTCTCTGAGAGCTCCTCTTCTTTGCAGTTCGGTGTTGATGTGTAAGCAATGAAGATTATTAGAGCTAGAAATCAAACACATTTTCCCCGACAAAAATGCGGTTCGTATTGTTGAGCTTTCAACGTTTTGACGTCAATGGGCGAGAGTGTTGTGTAGCACTGAACCCCGGTTTTTCGAAGTAAGACCGTCAACGGATGGCACAGTTGCACGCAGATAACTATAAACTTACTCGAAACGCGGACAACTACAACTTTGAACGGAAAATAGCAATCAAATAATGATACAATAGCAGAATGAAAAAAAGGGATCTTTCGAATACTTGGGGTCCAGGCGATGAAGTGCAGTTTGGGCTCCTTCTGAATTCTGCAGACAAGAAGACATCTAAACGCCCGCCAAAACTGCGCCTCTTGGGCCGTCGATCATTCCCTGACCTATCTGTGCGGGTTCGACCTTCTTATGTCACATGCCGCCAACCTAGGTAGTCGACGTCCTCAGCGACACGACCTCTTGCCTTTTAAGCTCTAGGAGGGGAACTCTTCTCCTAACAATTTCATATAGCATCTTGGCGCACGATACAGTGCAATCTGAGCCATCAAACGGTACCGCTATCTCCGGTGTACCAATCTTACAAAAAAACTCTTCCGTTCTCGATTTGCATTCCTGATGAGCGAAAAACTGTCTTGGCCCAGCGCGCTTACAAAACGAGTCCTCGATCATCGACCATAACTCAGTCATTTTTTCCATGCCTGAATATTTTTTCCACAACGGGGCGACCACGCGGCTGCCTTCCTCGGAGTGACGATCGCAGGCTCTTACTATGCCGCAATCTCATCCTCTTTACAACCTTGGCACCTTCGTCAGCACACCTCGTACGTGCTTCACGTCTTTCTGAAACGTTTCACATATCTCTGCAATGGGCTCTCCATCATGCCCTGTAGTACTGACATACTCTATTGTGCACTTTCTATCCCCTTGTCATACAAAGTTTGGAAATTTCCATGTCCACAAAGCTTAAGCCCTACCGCACTTGCTTTGAGCCGCTCTAGCCTCTCACTTGCCCAGTCAACTTGATTTTTCAACACTTTCCTCAACTGATTTCTATACTTCTCCGCTATACGAGCATCTGTCAGCTCGTCCTCCACTTCAATAGGCAGTCGCATAATCCCGATTATTACCCTGTCCAGTTCCTCGCTAACTTTCCCGACCGGAAATACATTTTGTTCTGAACTGACCCGTGCCACATTGTTCTCGTCTTCTTTCTGGACGACCGGATTCTCCATATTTTCTTCGTTCGCAGCCATGACACCGCCGACACAATAATACTGCTCTGCCTGTAACAGCTATATATACTGTACTGCCAAAAACCGTCACTTAACCACGATACGTAACGATCTGTGCAAACAACACCACCAATTTGCAATGCAATAATCAATACGGGCAATGGCACTGCAGAACGCAATCAATTCATACCGTAACAGTACTGCACCTGGCCCTAAAATCGATATGTCCCACGCCCTTTTGCGTTCACTTCAGCCATTCGATACAGCCGGGCACTATTAAAAGTAGTCACTGCAGACAACAACACCTGTTGCGTCCAATCCTCTTGATCGATCCACTGACCGACTACCTAGCCAGCAACCAATATCGATACCAATCATGGTCAGCAATCAAGTCATTCACCCGAATGACCCCACTCTCGTTATCCTACTCACGGTCTTCGCACTCCTCGAGCGTTTAGCACTGCCCCACCGTACCTTGCCTTCCTGACTTGAGCAAGGGTATTTTCCCTCACGGTCTACTAAATCGGTTGACTTCAATGTAGCACCGAACCCCTGTTTCTCGAAGTAAGACCGTTTCAACGGATGGCACAGTTGCACGCGGATAACAATAAACTTATCCGAAACGCGGACAACGACAACTTTGAACGGAAAATAACAATCAAATATTGATACAATACCAGAATGAAAAAAACGGGATCACTGGAATACTTGGGGTCCAGGCGATGAAGTCCTCGGGCCGGGTTAAAGACGTCGGATTCGGGCAGTTGAAGCCGGGTGGGGAGAGGCGAAGGTTGGACCCTTCTAGATTCTGCAGACAGGAGGACATCTGGTCGCACTTGGAAACTTAACAGCAATGTCCCTAACAAGACCTTCACTGTTGGTTAGGACAAGATCTAGAATGTTGGTGTCATGAGTTCCCTTTGTAAACAACTGGTGCAGTTTAAGGTTTTCGCACAACTCGACGAATCGACGTGCACTGACGCTAGCGGGACTGAAGTCCATATGAGGAGACCACAGAGTATCCGGGAAGTTGAAGTCTCCAATTACAAGGAATTTTTTGTTATGAGCTATCAAATCTGCAAGAGCTTTTAACAACTGATCGAAAGCGGAAAATGCGCACGAAGGGATCGATAAACTAGTACAATGCTATGACTTCATAAGCTTGATAACTGACTCACTGAAAATCATCCGCTGATTGCACATCTTTTAACAATTAAGGAATCCCCTCCACGTCTATTTCATCTATCGCACCTGAGTATAACAAATTGTGTACAAAGTTGGCCGAATACGGATTCACTACTAATTACTTCTGAGAGCCATGTCTCAGTCAGAGCTATAATGCCGTAGTTACCGAACTGAACCATGACCTGAAGTTTGCTTAAGTTCCTAGGTATCGATCAGGTACTAGCCAGAACGCACCATAGTTGAGAACCATACATCCGAGGAACCGTTAACCATTTGACGCTGACAATGAACTAACCGAATTAGGCGAAATATGCATGGCATCCACATTATGATTGGATGGCAGTTGTACAATTCGTGTGAACACTGGTAGTAAAAGTCAGGCCAACTGAGTAACCAGAATGACCGTTCA